ATCTGGCCTGGTCCGGTATTCTCTTCTCCTTCATTTCCTCTTTCCTTTCATTGTATTTATTTTATTTTGATCTGGCTTTGATTTGTTTTGATTGAAAATCGTGTTTTGAAATGCTTTGAATCACACTGGCTCCGCCACAGAACCGAGAGCAGATCTGCTCGTTTCTGGGCAGATCTGATCTCAAATCTGAATTCGATTGTTCCCACCTTCTATTATTTCTTTTCATTTTCATTTTCATCAGTTTAAAGTGTCAGATCATAGTGATCTATTTTTGCAGATCGCTTCGATTTTGTGTTGTAAACACCATCTTCTTTGAAAAATCTTCCATGAGCTTAACCCTTAGGCATTCAAGGAGTTTAATAAGGGGCTTCCCCCCAGCGTTTAATATCCACTTGTTATATGATTCAGATATGTTCGATGTAAGATGATTGTATCTACACCCCTGAAAATATGTGTTTGCCCAATATTTCAGATGTTGTAACATGATCCAGTCATATACCTCAACATTTACACTCTTAATCTTTATCATGCACTCATAGAAGTCTGTTATAGACAATGCACATGCAGCTTTCCAATAAAGCTTTATGAGCGCCAAATTTCTATAGTCATTTTTAAAGTTATCGGCAAGGTGATTCATACAATAGCCTTGTTCACTGGTTGGAAATACTTTTTCAATTGCGACTTGTAACTCTTTTTGACGATCTAATACAATAGTTAATGCTGGCAAATCAGGCCTCTCGCAAAATTGCTCATTAAGAAGCTTTAGAAACCAATTCCAATTTGATGTATTTTCACTCTAAACCACTACATATGCTATATGAAATATATTTTCATTAGCATCTACCCCAATTGCAGCCAATAGTATCCATTTGTATCTTCCCTTAAAAAATTTCCCATCTAGTCTTATTAGTGCCCTACAACCAAATATAAACCATACAAACATGGACGATTGCCTATAAACACGCTCAAATCTATCATGATTATCTATTTGAATAATGGTCACGGTTCCTGAGTTAGTGATTTGATTCTTATGAAGGTATTTAACGAGATCCTCGTATGCCTTCACATGAGTACCATCATTTATCTCTTATGCAACCTCTTTGCCTTGCCATGCTTGTTGGTAATATAACATGACACCGTGATCATGTTGTATATTATTAACCACATCTTCAGGTGTCAGATTGGGCATATCATTCAAACAATCTTTGATCTTGCTTGCCACCCAGTGGCTTTGGGCAAACAGCTGATGAACCCTACCTATTCCACAGGCACATGAGTGCATATCTAAAAACTTTTTCACCTTGAAGAAGTTTGTTGTATTAACCCTCCAATAGTGCACTTGCCATGAACACCTATCTACAGCACACCTCGCCCATACACATCTCACCACGCTTTTTATAAACTTCATATTAAAGTATTGTAATATGGCATAATCAATAAGGTGATTACGACATGCCTGTATGTCATCAAAATTTTGACCCTCTCGAAGTACAACTTCGTAACGGTTATTCCTAAAGGGGCTTTCTATCTAATCGATGTCGTCGATATGCCGCTCAATTCCTGAATCATGCTCATCTTCTACGTCTATGCCACCAACACATTCACTATGAACTACTTGCCCTGGTCGGGAAGTGCTGCAGAAAAAAAATTTAAGGACAAGTCAGAATTATCCTAACACGTAACAAAAAATTAACAAATAAGAAAATTAATGATTTTCATTGCAAACTTCTTAGATGACCAATCTTTATATAGTGACGGGAGAATACCCTTCCTTCATATTTGCAATGTCGACATCATCATCAATACGTATCATATTACTGTTACTTGGTAACTCTAGGTCAATATACCTAATAGTCATGGTACTTGGGGCATAAATTGATTCTTTTGACAAGTGATCCTTTACTTGGTCGGATGTTGAGATCCCCTTAAAAAAATATAACCTTCACATCCCTACCATCGTAGAAAATACATCCATCATTAGATTTACTCTTGAAAAAAACCACCAAAGTGTAAAATGATTTCCACTCTGTTGTCACCCATTATTGTTGCGTACAAGCTCAATCACTGCATAGAAATTTCATATGAAAACAAATATAAAATACTTATAAGAAGGTTCAAAATAATTACATATAATGAGGATGTTGCATTTATAAAAGGACATTAGATTACAAAACAAATGCCATAATATAAATAAAATTACAATGACCAACCCAACTACATCAAGTATTATAAAAAAAACATTATTTTGATGGCCAACAATTTACCAATTTATGCAATAATATAAATAAATCTAAAACTTGTTTATGCAATATTTAAATCAAACTACATCAAGTACTATAGAAAAGCAACATAATATTTTGATGACATACCTATAAATAGTGTTGGTGTGTATATTTGATGCTATCAAAGACCTTGCTCAAAGATTGATAAATAATAGATGATATGATAGAAAATGGATGAGAAAGATAGAAAATGGATGAGAGAGAGAGGAGGCTCAGAAAGAAGAAAATGCTAAAGACATCATGAAAACAGGGTTTTATGAAAAAAAAAAATGGTAAAAAAAAAGGCAAGAGAACATTACGGTTATTTTAATACCGTATAATCTATATAAAGTATTACGGTAGTTCGAGTACCGTAATTGGATATTATGACATTACTGTATAAAATGTGCTAAGAATTACAGTATATAAATTACCGTGTAAAATTTGCTAGTCATTACGGTATTTAAATTACTGTAATGTCCTTCACGGTACTATGACTATCGTGAAGGTCATTTTGGTCTAAAAAAACTCGAAAATAATGAGAAAGGGTGTAGACTAGGTTTTTGGAAGTTGGAGGTTTTCTTCCAATTAAGCTAAAATATAAGTCTATTTGTGATAATTTTCCTTTATAATATGGACCCGGTTTCTATGCGGCCAAGCCCGTATATGTAGAAATGAGGCCCTCTTAAAAATCTACTTTTGAGATGGATTTTAAGAATAAAATTTTAAAGACATATAATGTCTAACATGGAGATGATGAATATGAAAATATAAATAAATTTAAAAAATTAGAAATAATAATTTTAGTAACAAGAGAACGCAGATACAGAGAAACCCACGAGAGGGAACAGAGAAACGCAGAGGAATCAGAGAGAAGAGGAACCCAAGGGAAAGAGAGAAAAACCCAAAACAAGGAGAGAGATTATTATATATATTTAGCGAGAGAAAGAGAGATCCAAGCCCCAAACACAAGAGAAGAGAGAGAAACCCAAAAGGCCAAAACCATGGAAGACGACCAAAATACCTCTCACCCATTGCTCAGAGGGGGAAGAAAACTGACGGCCATCTGTGAGGCCTTGGTTCCCTCAAAAACAACACCAAAAATATTGCCCTTTTTTAATACGAAACATAGAAATATTTCTTCCTTTTTGGTTTTTGCAGTTCTTTTTTTTTTTTTATAATGGTTCAATGTAAATTTTGGGTACTCCAAAACATGTTGGTTTTATCATGGTTACTAATTTTGTGGATTTTTTATGTAATTACTTCTCAAAAAATGGATTTTTGGGTATTTGAATTATTTATTTATTATAATATAGGAGTCATAGGAATATTTCTATCTTCTCATGTTTTCAATTTATTCTTTGACAAGGATTTGTGGATTTTATTTAATTTCTTTGATGATGGGTTCTTTATTTCTCCATTTCTACTTAATTTTTCTGAGTTTTATTTGTTTGCATTTCAATGTCTTCTGTGGGTTTTATGTTGCTTATTCCTATTAAATTTAGGAAATTTTTTTCCTATTCTTAAACCATCGAATATTTACTTATCCTATTTTTGGTGCTCTTTTTTTAGGTTGGAGAATTGATGGTGAAAAGAGGACTACCAGATGCTGTGACTTTGGTTTCATGGGTATTGTGGCCTTGTCCCCAAGGCTTGGGACATTGCTTCTTTGTGGTTCCACTTGCCTCTCTCTCAATTTCCCTTTCATTAGAAGGGTTTTTGATATCCCAGTGGAGAAGAGAGAGAAAGTGTTGATGATCTAGTCTAGAGAGAGAAAGTTGTTTTATGTTATGATACTCAGCTTTGTGCTTTTCAAGGAAGAGTTCAATGGATTCAAGCTTTTGGCCAACTCATCAAAGAGAGAGTGAGCGGAGAGCGATGGATTAAAATTTATTTCCCTCTTCATTGCGATGGATTAAAGTTTATTTCCGTCTTCATTTACTGTTCTCTTTCGGTGTATTAGGCGGGAGAGAGAGTGAGGGGAGAGAAAGTGAAACATGTAGCAAGAGAGATGCAACAAGAGTGAGAAAGAGAAGTTTCAATATGTAAATGAAGAGAGAAGGGATTGGGTTTTAAAAAAAAAGGTGCGGTTTGTATTGAGCCTCGCTCTAAACTACAAATTAGAGCATACTTTCAAATAGTATGGAGAAATATAGTTTCAATACTGAAAATCTTTGTGATAGCCTTAAAGTATATTTTTATATTTATTTATAAAGTTTAAAGCTTAAAAAATAATGTAGATCAACATATCTATAAAAACTTAAAAATAAAATATTGAAAATTAATAGTCCAAAAATGTGATATAAAATATATTATTCTAAAACTTGAAATCCATTTTTTTTCTCATGTCTATGTATCTTAATGTCGAGATGATTAATTTAAAGATATTTAGGCATCAAAACAACATCTTCTAGTGAAATTTTTTAGGTAGGTTTAAATTTGATGGTTTAGAACCTCACAATATATGATATTTTTTTTTAAAACAAAATATGTTTTTTTTCATATTTGTTTAAGTTAAAAAATAGATTTAAAAAATAGATTGACAGTGATCAGAAAGATATTTTTAAAATTTTAGTTTTTTTAAAAAATAAAATCTAAAAATAAAAAATATTGAGATATTTTTCCCTTAATTTCGTTAAAAAATCAAATATAAAAATAAGAAAAAATAAGAGATATAGAGATATTTTGGCCGTAATTATTTGGGCTAAGGGTCATTCCATGGCAATAATGCAACCGAAGGTAGGAGTTTGCGTTTTGACGGTGGGCTGGTGGAAATGGTGACTAGGGTGTGGGTGCCACCACCGCGGCCGTAGCCCGTTTCCGAAGTCTCTGTCTTTTAAACCTCACCGTCTGCACCGACCGGGAAAGTTGGAAAGTGCAGGCCCCGGGATCGTTTCTTTATGCAGCAGTACCTATTGAACTTGGACAAATGGAAGAAAGAAGGGCATGCTGCTCTGCCTTTATTCCTTAGAATCTTGTTCTCATCTCCTTTTATCTACAATTCTCTATCCCCTTAGAATCTTGTTCTCATCTCCTTTTATCTACAATTCTCTATCCCCTCCTTTATTCCCCTCTCACTTTCAAATGGAAGCTGTCTTCAGGAGTCCACGTTTCCCTCCTCCATGCTCTCTCATCTTCTGCTCTGCTTTGTTTTTTCTTCTTGGCTTCTCTTCATTAGGTAAACATCTCTCTCTCCATTAACACACTCTGCTAGCTGTGTCACACTCTCTTACTGCCCTCTTCTTTGCTGTCTTCATTGTTGGGCTCTTCTTGCTCTTTCTTTTTCTGTGCTTTTTTTTTTTGTTTGGGAATTAGTCATATTGTCCTTTGTGGTGCAAAAGATTGCAGCCATGGGTATGGCAATCTCTCGAATGGTGCGGATGCTCTTTGCAAAGCGGGAAATGAGGATTCTGATGGTGGGTCTCGATGCGGCAGGGAAGACCACCATCCTCTATAAACTCAAGCTTGGAGAGATTGTGACCACCATTCCCACCATTGGTAACTCTTATTATCTCCACACGCTAACTAGCATCTGTGGTTGATCTCCTTTCAAATTTCTGAATTTAACCATGGAACCTCGTTAGATAATCTGCAGTTATGAGGTGACTGTGATATAATTTCGCTTGTTTGGATTAAACTGGGCTCTGCTTTTGATCTAATATTGGAGAGAAGCAACCAACCATACCAGAAACATTAACATGCAGCTTTTGATTTTCCATTTTGAATGAATTCCAGAGACAAGAGCTGTTCTGGAAGAAAAGCTCATAATTTTTTCACCTTTCCTGCAAAATCAATGGATATATTCAGGCTTGTCTGTACCTCATCCTGGTTTGTGATGTGGTGTTTGTTGACCTAGAGCAGTTCATGAAATTGCCTGTTCAGATGCTCTTCAAGGTCTTTGACATGCCACATGTTTCCGGTGTCCATGCGTGTTCTGGTTTAGTGCTACAAAGTATGAGATACATATCGACTATTACTCCTCCTCTATACATGTAAATATTCCCATATTATGTATTATGGTATCATGGCTGCTACTAAATTCCTGCTCTTGACCAAGCAAAACCTGATATGTTAACATCGGTGCCCTATGCAAGTGTCTGCGGACAACAGAACTAGCTCTACTTCTGCCATAACACAAAAGGATATAACTATGTAAGCAATGTTCAGAAAAACAGATTCGGGGGCATAGGCGGTTTGGGTGCCTGGCCACCCACGGGCTCGGGTGGGCACCCACGGACAGGTGGCCCTCAACAAAATAAACACCCCCCCCTTTCCCAAAACATAAAAAACAAGGGAGTTGTTAAATAAATAATTGAAATATAACTGAATATATAAGACATTTTAAAACTTTAGTTTCACTTTCACATAAGACTTAATCCATTAAGATATCACATAATCGATTATTTATCAAATAAACTAAAACAAAATCAAAACAAGACACATCATACAAAAAAAGAATCAATTATTCATAAAATAATACAATATATGCTCAATTTCATCGTAGTGAGAAAAAAAATTAATAAATCACCAAAAAAATGAATCTTTCAATTACAAACAGGTACATATACCGTAAAATAAAAAAAAGTAAAAGATAAAACACATGATTCATAACATAATAAGTTGTAGCAAAATAAAATCAAAACCATCTTTTAAATATGATAACATTTTAAAATATCAAATCAAATCGATGTAGGTGCAAACCTTGTCTATTGGGTCACCAAAAGTTCTCAAAATCAACTATTAGAAGCTTCAATTCCACCCAAGAACTATTGCCTTCGTTTTGGGAAGAAATCGAAAAAATAAAAAACTTATCGATCTTTCGATAAATCACAAAATAGTGATTTTTGAGGGGTTTTTCTCACCTTAAAGGCCAAGCATTTTCTATTGGGGTTTAGAATACCCCTTAAAACCCTTTCCCCCCCTTTTTAAGGGGAAAAAATTACATGTTTTCGTCTCACCCGAGGGTTTTTTTCCGCCGCCCGCAAATTGTCACGGGGCGCCGCCTAGGTGGGCACCTAGACAATAGTGCCTAGGCACCGCCCAGAAGCAAAAAAGGCTAATGCACCCGCCCTGACTGTGCCTAGGCGTTTTGAAATTTTTTTCGCCTAGGTGGCCGAATTTTTGAACATTGTATGCTTGTATGTAAGTACAAATTTCTCTCCTGTTTAGGTTTCACCATTGGAAAACAAGCTTTTACGCCAGGAGTGGTTTGAGTGATATTTCTGCTATATAGCTTCCAAAAGGATACATGGCATTTGATCTCTTATCTAGTTAACATAAAATTTAATTATGGTCTGATAAAATATTATTTATTTAAATTGACTTATCCATTGGATTTCACCACAAATTACTTAAGTCAATGATGGAGGTGATATGCCTTTAATAGACAAATGCCTTTTGCAATCAATTCAAAAGTATGCAAGCTTTTAAGGACACATAATTTGCAAAGTACAGAAGGTAAAATTGACTTATCCATTGGATTTCACCACAAATCACCTAAGTCAATGATGGAGGTGATATGCCTTTAACAGACAAATGCTTTTTTTTTTAGGACGCATAATTTGCAGAGTACAGAACGTAAAACCCTTACAGTCCAACTACTTGTCTAGTGGTGGCTCCTGAGTATGGTGGTTCCTGAACAATTAGGAGAATTCCTACTTCTGGGTTTGTGGATTTCATTGACTTTGGATTTCGAGGTAACCCTAGGTCGCAAAGGGGTGGTCTTGCAACATACCATACAAAACCATTGAACAAATTCCATTCAATTTTGTATAACATGTATCCAACATGCTGCAGCAAGACATGAGATACCTAGTCAAGAACTGAGCTGAAGCATATCCAAAAGCAATACTTTTTTGCATAAATCAGTTATTTTTTTTTTTTTTTTTTGTGTTTTTCTGTATATATCACATATTTATTTTCAACAATCAATATTACCGTGCAGTAGATTTGTCCTTAGTTTTATTTTACTATTTCTTTTTCAGCAAAAATATTTTTATGAAGAACATGTCAAACTTTTGCTATACGTTTGAGTTCAGTATTTAGTAAATTTCTGCACGTGATTCTGAGATATTAGAATCTAGCATAGCTAACATGTGCAAACAGTTCAGCATTCAGGCACTTGGAGGTCATAACATATGCTACATTCACTTTCTAATTGTGGTTTTTTGAAGTGTTTTTCAAAAGTTCACTTAATTGTTCAAATGACTGACACTGGTCAGTCCTTGGTAATAAAGAAATTGACTAGTCTTTGAAGATGACCATAAGACTTGCATTGCTAGTGGATTTGGGCTGCTAGATCATGCTTCTGTTTATGCGTACTATCTTTAATGTCATTAACATGATCAATCCTTACTTGGTTACCTTTTAATGTTCTATAAGCTGACCCACCACCTAACAGTGTCCTTTCTCGAAAATTATCTGATAATTGGTTTTTCAATTACCCATAAAAAATGTATAATTGGGTTTTTTTGGAGGACACATCAATTTTGTTTAGAAGATTTTTTATTAGAATATACTGTATATAGACTAAATTTTGTAAACGGACGCAATACACACGTGTATATCAATTTTTTTTAATAAGATTCGGTTAGCAATAAAAAAGAGAGATGAAAATTTAATCATTACAATGGGTATCCTACCCACTCTTCCAAGGCAGCATCTTTAATGACTTAAAATTTTGGCATATCCATTACTTTTAAGTGGCAAACTTTTATTGATGACAAAAACCATAGATGATTAGTGGTGCTTTCTATTTGGAGAGCATGTTTTATTGATAATTAGTAATTTGTCATCAGACTATTCTCTTCTGTTGGCGTCCATACTGTGTTAGCATTTTAGTTTTGTAGTGTTTTTAAAATAGTGTGATTTCAATCTATAGTTTTACTAAAATATTTCAATGAAGGTAGATAAGTTGTGGGTTTTTCAGTCCCACATTGAGGAATAGAGAAAGGAAAGTGATGTATTTCTATAGAAATACTTTCCAGCCTTATGTTTATAGAACAAACTAGAAAGTGTGAAGGCTTATGTGAAGTATGCATAGTGTGCAATGTGCATGCACATAGGGGCACGTGCGAGGACACAACGGTGCTTGAGGCGTACTTTGCACTTTGAACACTCGCCATGGTGCTGGCTATCTTTTGTGAGTCGCGATGCAGACTCGTTTCTTGTGTTACATCATACGGCATGAATGTGGCGGCATAACAATTATTTTTAGCTGTTAGATGTCTCGCGGTGGTTGAGGCGGTTAATGATTGTTGGATGTTTGTCAGTTAGTGACTACTATGTAGTTATAACAGTCAATTAACATTGACAACTATCTATTGAACAGTCACATCTTTCAACTTGGAAAACTGAGTCACTAACAGTCAATTAACAGTGACAACTATCTATTGAGCAGTCACATCTTTCAACTTGGAAAACCGCATTCCTACTCTATAATAGGGCTTGATTTTCCCCATTTTGTACGCAATTTTCTTACATGATAATCTGTCTCTTACTTCTTTCTCTCTCTAGAATTAAATCGACTCTGGTGCATTACAGATTTGCCATTCTAGTACATTAAATAGGCAAGATTACATAGAGACCGTATGTTTTCAGATATCCCGAGGACTAATTTACCCCGTACAACCTTTTTCATATTGATTTTAATCAGTAAATAGGCAAATATAGTCTTGAGACAAGGTCTTTGGGTGCCTGAAAACGGGAAGCTCCATCCTTTGTTATTTTAGAAGCCTTCATTATCTGAATTTACAGCCCCATTTCACCTATACCCTTATTTCTAACATATTGTTCCATGGTGCTTTGGAAGTTTCTAACTGCTCCTTGGAGTATTGGTGTTGTCCAAGGTTTGGTCTTTTAGCATGTACGCCTTCTGAGTAAGAGTTGTTTGTAGTTGTTATCCATGGCTAATTTACACTTAAAGGTGCTTAGCTGATAATGTATTCTTGATGCGTATACCTTTTTAATCAGAAGAGTATTTTATTCGTAATAGTTCCAAAATGCCATAGCCAGTTGACCATCCATGCGCCTTGGAACAAATATTCCCTAAGAGAAGGGATGTTTCTGTAATAATCCAAGACTTTTTTATTGCTATTTGTATTAAAAATACTTGAACTTGGTGGCAATGTCGGAAATAACCTAGAGTGAGCGAATTCATTGAGTCGAGTAGGATACTAGGAAAAATTTGCCGGGTATTTGTGTAAAAAAATAAATAGATATAAAGCAAATTATATTTTGGGAATGAAGCTTAGAATGTCATGTAAGCATACCACAATGCTACCACTTTGAAAATGCCATGTACTTGTCAGATTAATCATAGGAAATTATGTATAATGAAATACTCAGATACATCCCGAGTTTTTCTGTTATAGAACTTATCAATCTGGCTGGTTGAGTTGGCTTGCAAGTTTTACAGACTCAAGGTTAGTTCTTATTTTCTGTAGATGCAGAAATGATGGAAGAAAGATTCTTGAGAGGGAGAAAAGAGTGAAGTAAAAGAGAGAACTGTATTTTCCATGTCAGAGAGTTGCGGTAGCAAGAACTAGTATAGGTTAATTGTATTTCTTGTTCAAACATAGATGTAAAATTTACTATTTGTTCTAGATGCACAGGGTTTTGGGCTTAATGATGTACACATCTGGCAAAAGTTGTGTATTGAGGCAAAGGGTGTGCTATAAGACTATGCCGATAGGCAAACTTACATTTCCTAGAGTGGCACATGCTCAGGAACAACATTTTGTTGTTGAATACTTGGTTCTGCTAGTTGTGTGGGGAGTGCTGTGATGGTATCCTTTTGGAGGTATATGTCAATGATGGAATGCAATTGGCAAGACCAGATGCTTGATGAGCATGTATGATGGACAAGGACAAATTTTCAGAGAAATTACGTACAGGGAAAGAGCATATGCTTGTTGAGGTCTTTTCTTTATTGTTAAGTGCATCTGATAGGTAGGAACATGATTGACAACATCCAATTAAGATAATGATGCTAATAGTTTCATGTTATCAATGGGATAGTACGGGTGCTGAAATTTTGTTCATTAATAGTGTTTATCTAATCTCCATCTTAGCTCTTATTACTGATCCTTGTTAATCTCATGAATCATGGAATTTATAAGTCCTTTCTAACAGAATACCACTAGTAAATTTTTGAAGTATTTGGCACTGCTCCAGCCACATTCGCCCCCAACCTCTCCCCCCAAAACCAAAAACAGACAACCATAAAAAAAAAGACCAACGCCGCCAAGATACACACACCCTCCTACCCCTCTATTAAGTATGGGCTTTGGAGCTCCTTAAAATGGCACAAATCTGATATATTCATGGAAAATTGAAATGGACGGTTCAGAATGATATAGCCCTTTTTACCAGATCTGTGATTTTGGATGCCCAAAGGCTGGATCTGCAGAGTTTCAGGTCCTCAATCCATCTCCAAGACAGATTTGGGGATGGCTGCATGCAGCCACTGCCACTTCCTAAACTTACCCTTAAATTTGTTTCTGGTTTATTATTCTCCTTGTCTTGCTCTTATTGTCATTATGAACTTTGGCCCTTTATTTGGTCATCATCTACGAGAGCGGAATTGTAGTTATTTACTTGTGGATAATGGGCTTTAGAAAGACAAAATTACTAAGATGTAGCATTACTTTGTTTTATTACCTTTCTAAGCACAGATATAAAATATATGGTGTGTCATTGTTACTAGAAGTTGGGGAATCAAAGGCTAATTTCTTTCTTTTTCCTGTCTATCCAGCCTACGTGGCTCTTGCCCCTTAGTATTATTAAGGGAAACTTACATATTCCCCACCATTTAAAAGCTTCTCCGCAGAGGACACCCTTCTAAAAATCTTCTCATCCTAAACCTTTAACACTATTTTTCCTTTCATCAACGACCCAAATCAATTTTCAACAGCGTTTTCGATTAAAATGCCCCTCAATCAATCAAGCCAACAGATCTTCACATCCTAAACCTTAACACCATTTTTCCTTTCATCAACCACCCAAATCAATTTCAACAGCGTTTTCAATTAAAATGCCCCTCAATCAACCAAGCCAACCGATAAAAACTTTGTTTCTCTTCGTGTTTCTTCTCTCTAAAGCTCTTCTCTTTGTTAACCAAAACCAGATTTTTCTCTTCTTCTACAGGCACTTCAATCCTCTCCACGCACTTCAATTTCTTGGTAATGAATGGCAAAAATTACAGGGGAAAAGGAAAATAATGCCCCGTCCCCCTCACCCTAAAAAAGAAAAATCATACTTGTGCTTATTTATAGTCCAAGAATATCAATGGGAGCAGTTGAATGAGAAGAGAGAATATGGAAAACCTAAAGGCCTAAACCTCATGCACTCCTCTCCTTGTCCAACCACGTTCTCCCCTCAAAACTCAGGTCCGTGATCTATGCCATTCCTTAACCCATGTTTCTTCTTCTTCGTCCCATCTGTATCTGCTTCTTTTGCATTGCCATATGAAAAAAATTGCCAATTTCCTTTGGCTACAGAAGCATCCTTCTCTTGGCATGATGAATATTAGATGTAAATATAAATGTAATAGGTGATGTACTGACAATTATTCTTTCTGACATGAAAACCTTTCTAGATTTGAATTAAGGGTAGTAGGTGGTTTATATAAATTATAGTTTCATGATGTTGGACATAATGAAATAAAAAATTTGTAACTTTTTATGGTTCATTATCGAAGCAAGAAATTTTGAGTTATAACATTCGCTCGATTTATATGCATTTTGTTTTTCCACTTTTCTATCAGGGGACACACTTTGTCATTTTTATAAAATGCTTGCACCCATTGGAATATGTATTTTTTAATCAAATTGGAATTATTTGAAGGAACTTATTAACAAATATTCTCATGTTTTAGGGTTTAATGTCGAGACTGTAGAGTACAAGAATGTGAGTTTCACTGTGTGGGATGTTGGAGGTCAAGATAAGGTATTGATTTTATCTACAGTTTTTGTTCATTCCCATTCTTCTTGCTCACTAGCTGATTTTTTGAAAGAAATGGTAAACCTTCTATGTTGAATGGAATGATACAATTGTTGATTATAATCAAGAATTCTCGCTACTGATATGAAGTATTCTTTAATTGTATTATTTATTTGATATATAATAGTTCTTTGATGTCATTAACTTTTATTATATTTTTATGCAAATATTTTTCATGTTATTAACTGTCGATCACTATTTGTGCTTATCTATTCTATTGTCGCTTTGGATGATATTCAAGCCTTCTATTAGCTTTTTTAAATATTTTGTTTTCAAATCATGTTGAATAGCTTGGTCAACTAGAGCATGCCAAACTCTCCCATGCATTTCCAACCCACTATTAATATATACCATCTGGTCCTAAAGTCTGTAGTATCTTCGTTTTCCTCAAAGCTTCTTTCACTTTAGATATCCTAATTCTACGAATGAATGTATCTATAACTTTCGACCTCATTTATGTCAAAAGTTCCCCCTAAAACTGTGTTCCCAGAGTGGTCGCCATTTAACAGTGTCAATAAATTCTTCACCTTTCATTGACCACGTCATCATTCACCAAGTCCCTTTGATCGTCACTCTTAATCTATTTAACATGATCATCATTAGGTAGACAATTTAAAAACTAAACAATTGATTTTATGTCCTTAAATGTGTAGATCTCAATTTCACCAAGTGGGTGGTTAAGATTCATTGTTTGAGTGAACTTATTTTGACCCTTTTTATGGTACAAATGCTATTTCTTTCTCTTCGGAATTGATGGTTGGGATGAAGGGAGTGCAAAATTTGGAGTTATAGAAATGCCCCAAGCATATGGTTTGCTGAAGTGGTGTTGGTATATGGGTGCACCTCTAAAATTCTTTGAAAACTGTCCATTTTGAAAATTTTCATCCACTTATAGATATGCTTGATTTAAACAAGTTTTATAGTTTAAAATTTTATAATTAGAGATAAAAGTAGATTTTCGCAACATCTTAAGAATTTTTTACACCAAAATTGCATCTCATGACAAAGTTTGGAAGTGCACCTTACTTTGATTGTTTAAGGTTTCAACCTTATGCAAACTGATATATATATATATATATATATATATATATATATATATAAG